GGGGGGGGGGGGGGGGGGGGGGGGGGGGGGGGGGGGGGGGGGGGGGGGTATGTGAGAGACCGGCAGAAAGGGTAAAACGCATGACTGAAGACGTCGAACGACCGCACGTTCCTCCTCTCGAGAAAAAAACAAACCCCTACCGGTGACGCTCTGGAGAAGCGCAGGGGTCGCCGACAGCGCGGAAGAGGACAGCCGCAAGTCGATGTCGTCCTCCCCGCCCTCATCCCCCCCTCCCCCCCCCTCGCGACGGTCGTCCCCCGAGCTTGCTTGCCCGCTTGCCAGCGCTGTCGCCACCGCGACGGCCACCGCGCCCACCCCGGGGTGCAGAGTGGTTATCTTCTGCGTCGGCACGTAGATGGCCTGGGACAGGGACTCCGGGAGGTAGACGGGAGACGATCGCTCCCCCGCAACGCTGCCGTCTCCGCCGCCGCCGCCGCCGCTGCCACGGCCCTTGTTGGCGGCGTGCTGAGCAGCGGTGTCGATGTACCTGAACGCACGGTCGGGGCATTTGCAACAGGGGTTGCGTGGAGGTGGAATGCGAGTACGAAGGGGAGGGAATACACGCCGGGCTGAGTGGTGAGGCCGGGGACTTGGGGCGAGGTGGGGGTGGGAGGGCGGGGAATTACAAGTCAGCTACCCGAAGTGCCTCCCGCTTTTCTCCCACAGACCGCGATGTACATTGAGCGACCGAAACCTAACCAATGCACCAGTCAGCGCTGACTGGTCTGTTGGTAAGATGTCGGGTGCTAGAGTAGGTACCTCTGTTTCCCCTCTTGGATCGTTGCGCGCAACAGTCGCTATGCCTCTACAAAAAGAAAACATCCGATCGACAACGGGTGCAGCAATTTCTCGATCCGGCTACAGGATACACAGACGCAAATGGCTGGGCAAATCGGTGCCTCGCTCTCACGACCCAACCCAAAAGACAAACGACACCACCACAACCGCCAAGCAAGCAAACGACAAGGCAAGACGTGACGCACACACTGCTTAGCGAGGTACACGCGTACGGCCGAGTGAATCGTCACTCGCACAAAAAACAATAATCCGTTTCGCCGTTGTCATCACACGTACGAAAGGAAGTGAGCATCAACACCCGTAGCAGGAAGCAGCCAGCGCACCCTCCATGCGACTCGCCGAATACCTCACGGCGCTTCGCGCTTGGCCATGTGATAGCCTGGGCCGGCGAAAACCCGGCAAACCGATCTGTCCCGGCTTTGTAGGGATGCGAGGTGAACGGTCTAACGACTACGGCGTGCACGACCATGAGTACCCCCCCGGACCCCCCCGCCCCCCTCACCCCTTCAGGAGAGACAACGCCTCTTTCTCGTCCGCTGTCGCGACGACCCCCCCCTCGCCCCCGTTCTCCGCTCCCGACAAGTTTCGTCTCTGCTGCTGCTGCTGCTGCTGCTGCTGCTGCTGGCTTGTTCGGCTGTGATCAGGGCCGCCGTTGCCCCCGCCCCGGCTGTCGGCAGCCTGTCGCCGGTAGTCGCCGGCGGCGGCGGCGTTGTTGTCACTCGCCGGGAACTGCTGGAGAATCTGCCCGCCGTCCTGAGAGGATGGGGGTTGGGGGGGTGGCGGGGCGGAGTTTCTCAGGCGGCTTGCTCTTCTCTGGTCGCTGCGGTTGCTATGTACAGTATTGTCAACGCTCGCCGATGGAGCGCCCGTTTGGCTGAGATTGGCGCCTCGCCCACACTCGCGCACCGTCTTCGTCTTTTGGCCACATGTACAGATCCTTTTTCGGTTGATGGGGTCACCCAACCGCTTTTCACCTCTGCTCCTGCGCCGCCGCCGCCGCCGCCGCCACCCGTAGCCCTTACTCTCCTAGTTTCGATCACTTCGCCCACCGCGGAATCGAACACGGGGCGGGGCACGGGGGGTCTGAGGGCATCGAGCAGGGTGGCCTCGTCCAACGAGCCCCCCGGCAAGGAATACCTATGTGTGAGTGTTTGTTACAAGCAAAAGGGAAATTCGGAGATTTTAGATGGATGGAGTCAATGAGGGCAGGCAGGCAGCATCAGCACCAGTTTCAGCTGGAGTACCAAGTCGCCGCTCAAAAAAATCGAAAGAATTACGAAGCCTCGGCAGAAGCGGAAGAAGAAGAACAAGAAGAACAAGAAGAAGCAGCAGCAGCAGCAGCAGCAGCATACCACGCGGTCGGGGGAAGCGCGCAACCACCGTTAATCCATTTTCTCCTTTTTGGAGTAATGCGAGGCTTCACGACCAATCTTGCATCATCCCTTCAACCCCTCCCCCCTCCCAATGTTTTCCATCGGGATTGGGTTTTCGTCGCTTGGCAACGACGTTGTAAAACAAGCCAATTCACTTCGTGAACTCGGCAACCAGGTCACCGTTCTTTTTTATACCTCTTTTTTTTTTTGCGGTAACAATGGATGGTGGTCGAGTAGATCATATTGAGCGGGGTCGAGAACCCTCACTCCGCGCAAGGGGATGATCGCACCACGTTGTGTTAAAATGGTCAAGCACCCTCGAGGCAGTTACACAGTGCTTACAACTGTCTCTGGAAGTGAAAGCACCAGAAAATAAATTAAGTCATACGCAGCTGTCATCCGTACGCAAGGAAGTAAGCACAAGATGCCGAACACCCTTAGCAGGATGCAGCGCACCCTTCATGCGACTCGCCGAATATCTCACGGCGCTTCGCGCTTGGTGATGTGAGAGCCTGGTCCGGTGAGAACCCGGCGTGCTCCGTCCCGGCTTTGTAGGGATGCGAGGTCAATGGTCTTACGGCTACGGCATGCACGACTTTGAGTACACCCCCCCCCACCCCCGACATGCCCTGCCAAAACGAGGAAAATAAACAAGAAAGCAAAACACCGTTTTCCGTTTGCCAAAAGTCAAAAATAACTTATCCATACAAATCCGAGTCACGAATTTTATCAACACCACCAAAGCCAGCACCAACACCACACCGACATGTGACCAACCTCGACAGACCCGAACCAACTAGCCTCGTATGCATACAGCCAGCAACACCCCGGCCTCTCTCTCCCACCTCAAGTGCGGTCTCAGCACCGGATACAAGAACACCTGGGTGTCCAGCGCGCCCAACGCCTCCGCCACCCGAACGATCAGCTCCACCGCCCCGGCCCTGACCGCGAGCCCCGGGTGCTGCAGCAGGGGCGCCGCGGGCGTAGCCTGCGACGGGAGGGCATGCCTCGGCAGCAGGCCCAGGCCGGCGAGGGCCGCGAGGCACCTGAGACCGCTGGCGATGACGGCCTCGCGGGCGTCGACGAGGGTGTTCTCGATGCACGGGAGGATGAAGCGGGTCGTGGCCACCTTGTTTTTTTTTTTTGGCGGGAGGGGACCACGAGCGTAGTGGCGGGGTCGGTTGAGAGAATGTAAGCGGGTGGACATTAGAAAGTGGGAGTACACGAACAAGGCGGGACGCCATCGTCACAAACATTACAAAACACGCAACTGTCGAGAAGCAGGCGACTTGGTGCTATCTTGACGGCTACATACGGTATTTTTTTCTTTTGTTTCTCCCATCATTGGACTCTGTCGTCTGCCCCTCTGTCTCCTATCCTCCACTTCTACCAGCTAGCAACCCAACCGGGGTCACAGAGGAGGGGGGGGGTTGGACCCCCTCCTGCGGTTCCTGCCTGAGATGTTTTTATCGCGAGAAGGGTACAGCAATCCCTTCCCTCGAGACTTGAGAAAGTCGATGAAGTTTACTACCAACGAGCGTCTGCAGCGCGTCGCTTCCAACGGAGACCAGGATTTAATTAGTGAGAAAAAACTCACTCTGTCGAGACTCGAACCCATGACCTGGCCCTTGGCAGGCTGCGAGGCTACCCACTAGACCACTGGGGCGACCGGTGGTGATATGTAGCAAGGGGTATCTATCAGGGCTACACTTTCACAATTCGTCGATTCTAACCCCACCCACCTCTCCGGCCATGGCGCAGACGGCGGGGATGTGCTCGCAGAAAGCCGCGCGTAGCGACCAGTCCCTGGCAGCAAGCGAGAACACGAGGGATTTAATCTCCCTAAACCGAACAACAACTCCCGCAACCAAGTTGGATGATCGGGAAAGAGAGCGAGCGTGTCGGAGATGGTAGCTGGTGTGGGGTGGCATCCATAAAACGCCGAGGTCAAAACAAAACTCTGGTGGTTCCGGAGTGCGGCTTGTGGACCTCTTGGGAAAGAATCGACGCGCAACAATTCAAGATGAACAAGAATCGACAAGCAACACGCAGTAGTGCTGTACTGTGTGCTTCTGTGCCCTACATGTGCGCAATACAGCAGCAGCAGCAGCAGCAGCAGCAGGGGCGGCAGGGGCGGCAGCAGACACCTGTCGTTGAGGAACGTGATCAGCTGGGGCAGGATGGAATCCAAGGTGTTCTCGAAGCCGAAGAACACGCACAGCCGGGTGATGTCCGCGAGCAGCGCCCGCTTCACCATCACCGCCGCGGCGCCCGCCCCGCTCCCGCCCCCGTCCCCGCCAGCGCCGCCGCCGACTCCAACTCCGCTCCAGTCGGCCGCGAGGCCACCGGCCCCGCTAGACGACGCAAGCACGACGAACCACCGGCTGATCTGTGTGCGTGCGGTGGATGGACATACAGAGCAGACGCGTGTACAAAGCGAAATAACAAAAATCTTCTTTGTGATGCTGTGTCGAGTCGTGTGTGCAGATCGGAGCGTGTGGGGACCGGGGTGTGTGGGGTGGAGATAGATTGTATTCATGTGGACAGGGAAACGAAAAAAACCCGTCTGTCTTTGTCCGTGGGTGCTGTATCGTGTCGTAGCGTGTCGTGCGTTCGAGAACGGACCCAGCTCAGAGCGAAGCACACGAACAAACATCGTGCTGTTCGTCTTTGGATCTCTGCGCGCGCGTGGACTCACCATACCATAGGAGTACAAAAAAGACAGGATATGCATGCACACGAGGAAACCGTCTCGTCGGCGAAAAAAAAAACGTTTCAAGCCAGAGCGTCTACTCTATTTCACCACCCTCGCCGCACCTGCCCGCGGATCGACGAGAGTTCTTTGTCGTAGCTTCCGTCCAGCAGAACGGTCCCCGAACTGCTCCCGGTCCCCGCCCCGCCGCCCCCGCTCGTCCCCTCCTCCGCCCCGTCGTTCTCCGAGATCTCTGGTTCTCGCTTGCCGTCGGCACCGGGGGCTCCGTCTTTGTTGGTGGCATCCCCTCCCCCCGGGGGCTCCGGCGCGTCATTGCCGACCGGTCCGCTCGGCGTGGGTTCTTGTGAATCTGGTGGGTCGTTCTGGTCGCCAGCATTGCTGCTGTTGCTGCTGTTGCTGCTGCTGCTGCTGCCGCTGCTGCGTTTGTTGCCCTTGTCGGTGGTGCTGGCGGTGTCCGCCGAGCTCTTTCGGGGGTAATAGAGTGGACGATGGGAGGTGGCGGGGAGGTTTCAACGTGTGAAAATCACTGGCTGGTCGAGCCGGGAGAAAGTAACACCAGAGCAAAGCATAGCACAACAACAGCAACAAGGACAACAACAGCAGCAGCAGCAGCAGCAGCAGCAGCAGCAGCAGCAGCTACCCAAGAAACGCTTGAACCGTCACCCCGAACAAAAACAGCGCGCCCCAAAACAAACGCAAAACTTCGCAAACCCACTTGCACCACGAAAAACACAGTCATACTTGTAGAACACAACCCACCTTGCGACGGCCTTCAGAAGTTCGGGCTGTCCCCGACTCAGCCGCCCCGGTCGCCGCCGCCGCTGCAGACGCCGCCGCGGCCGTCGCAGCCGCCGCTGCCGCTGCAGACGCCGACACCGCGGTGGCGGAGGCCGCGGCGGCCCGACGCATGGCGTACGCCGTCTCCAAGAACCTCCTGCTTGTCTCGGCCAGAGATGCCAGGCTCTCGGCGAAGGCGATGCGGACCAGGTCCGACGAGTCCGACGGCACGCGCTGATCGGCCAATTAAAAAAAAAAAACATCAGGCGATATATTGTAGTGCAAAAAATGAAAAAAAAAAAATGAGGCATGCTGCTTGTGACGAGGTTCAAAAAATCGGACCGAGAATTGCAAAAACGAAACGATGCGATATATCTCATCGTTAAGAAATAAAACTAACAAGGCGGGTTGTTTGTGTCGAGGTTCAAAATCAAACCGAGAATTGCAGAAAAGAAAACGATGCATATCATCGAGATTGTCATCGACCCGAGTTGAATGGAAGTGACGGGGCGGTATGTATGCAAAAGTAGGTCGGTGAAATTTGGAGGAGCACGTGCACAGCTGTCTGTGGGCTAATGACGAGGTGTCGACAAGCAGCCAATAGTGCAGTTCCCCATCACCTATCAAACACGTACTTGGGGTCCAAGGTACAAAACAATCTAGCCGGCACAGCAAGGACATGTCAACACAAGCCAGCAGCACCCTACTACTAGCACTTGTCGCATCACTCCCGACCCCCCGACGAGCATTATCACCTCAACCAACCAACCAAAGAAAACTTCCCTCAGCGGTGCAGTCAGCACCTGGAGCGCGGGGAAGATGTAGAGCAGGAAGATGTTGGAGTCGCTGGGGGGGAAGGAGGTCACCATGCCTAGCAACGCCCGCAGGGACCGCACGGCCGTTGCCCTCACCACCGGGGCGGTATCGTCCAGCATGGTCATCGTGTACTGGATGAACCAATCGCGCGGGGAGGGCAAAAAAACACATGAAGCCAATTTTGGGCCGTCAAAACAAGCTATGTAAGTCTGTCGCATACCCGTCTGCCGTTACGTGGCTGGTTCAAAACACGTGGCATTGCTGCCGATCACACAGAGTCCGCGGGCACCCCCGCTGCATCAAGGATGCAGCAGCACCGGTGCCACGTCACACAACGCAGCCGTCCGACTGTACACAAGAGATGGTGCGTGGGTTGGGGCGTTGGGGGTGGTCACGTACCTGGCCTTGTTCTTGTTTCCACAACAGAAAGACCACAAGCAAGAGAGACGTTAGACGTTAATTGCGCCTCGAGTGGCACTACGGCAAGGTGAAGCACCTTGTAAGCGCTCTCTAAGCACAAGGCAGGTGGCGCTCACAGAAAACAAAGTCACGCAGGACACGACGACACGCAAGATCATCCCCTCGATTTGGGCATTGGGCACAACTTGTGCGCTATTTAATCGTCAGTCTCAACTCTAGCTCACTAGACATCGTCATCGATATTTCCACGAAAGACTCGAATTCGACGCCAATCGGCGAGGCAGCGCCCGCATGTCTGTGCTTCATCGCGCCATTGCCATGATCGCCGTTGCAAAAACGACGACACTGGCGTGAGGACATGCATTCTCGGATCGCCGTTGGCCCGGAAAAAATCACGTACATACAATGCCGTCAACGCCTTCTGGTGTTCGCACGTGTCCGCTCGCTGCCGTTGATATCGTTCCGGTGCACTTTCTATGCTTCTATGCCCATTCCCCGTCTCCTAACCCTCCCCGCCCCCCCTCCCTCTCACCTTTCTCTTGTCTCTCTTTTGTGTGTTCGTCTGTGTCTTTCTGTCTCTGTCTATCAGTCTGCCC